AACGCTGTTCGGCTGCGCTGGGACAGGCTGGATGGGTGGTGTTAGTCCTGCGCGGTAACATGAGGTGCGTGGAGGAGAAAGTGTCCTAGAGCCTGTCCCGGCTGTGCCCAGGGTGACAGGGCCTCCCTCTGCGCAGCTACTAAATGCAGGGTCAGTTCTTGGTGTTTCTGGGCGCAGAGTGCCAGAACAGGCAGAACGGAGCCACTTTGTCATTGTGGTATTTCTAGGAGAGGAGTAAGAGGCCATTCCTGTAGAATTAGGTCACCTGTCAGGAAAAATGGAGACGTGTCTGGTAAGGTAACACGCAAATTGAATACCGAATGGCAATCTGTGCAACCTGTAGAAAGCTGTGATATAATTAAGCACCCCTGTCAAAATTACATATTCAGCTTTTTTTGTTTTTTTGTTTTTTTTTTTTGAATGGCTGGAAGCCACATAGATAGTGGAGCGCGCTTAGGGGTGGAAAAGCTGTGGAGGAAAAAAGCCACGTGTATGAGAAATTCACCTTTAAACTATGGACTGATGAGTAAAGTGCTAAAGTTCAGGACTTGGTATAAGGAGCAAACAGCCATGTACAAACAAGCAAGTGTACAAACACTTGCAAACACAAACAAGCCGTGTACAAACAAACAAGCAAGATGGAAACAAGCGTTCAGAGAGAGGCTGACAAAGTGTAAGGCACTGTCCCTGATGTGACTGTGGATGAACTTGCAAGTCCTAGTTAGTGTTGCATTGCTTCTAGGTGTAGTGTTACGTATCTGTAGCTTTCTAAAAACAGGATATATTGGGTTGCCCAATGTTAATTCATTCATGTGACTTTGGCCTTGTGCTGTCATAGCTTTTTAAAATTACTTTAGAATTACTTTAAAATTACTCTCTTATTTTCCTGGATAAGTTTAACTTTCCTAAATTTCCTATCTTTCCCTGTTCACTGTGGAGAAAAGATAATACAACTACTTCTGATTCATGTGGTTTTTACTTTCCTTCAATTTTTTTGGAATTAGCTTTCATACTTCCGATATTAAAACAGGATATCCCAAAGGCCATTTAATTAAACAAGATTTTTATGAATAAAAAGGCCTCTTATCCTTGAGCTTTGCAGTTGTTCTTTTCATGTATTTTAAGAAGGAACCCAAACGATAAGGAAAAGATTTGTGGTGTGACTAGCCTGTTTCCAAAGAAATTAATTTAACTAGTCTAAATTCCTGGACCTTCTGCACAGTAGGAATAAGCTGACATAGAAAGGATCAGTAGAGGAAGTTAGAAATGAATCCTCATTTCTCACCTAGATTAACAGCAAAGGATTTCAAGGCTGATACCGTGGTGTCAGGTTTGTACGGATCCATTCTGTGGAGGGAACGTTTGCCCTATGTATCCGCACAAGTCTGATTCTGATGTCTGCTACATTTGTTCCCTTGGCACGCTCCTCCCTGTTACTCAATAAGGCATGTGGAGCTCAGCGCAGCGCCGTGTCTGGTGGTATGCAGGGAGCGATGGCCCTCTGCATCCATCCGCACGCATGCCACAGAGCCTTCCCTGGGCTGTTTTCCGTGTGCAGGAGGAACAGAAAATGGCATTGGTAATTACACATTACAACTGTGTAACTTAGTTACTCATTCCCAAATCAGTCCTATATTTTGCAAAATGGTTATATAGCATTTATTTCAGACTATACTTGATTATATATTTTTTTAAAAATGTAATGAATTTATCTCAAATCTAGGCTAATGCTGTTGTTTTTCACCACAAAGCTTCTAGCTATCGCTGTTTATTTTGGCTTAAGTTAAACCTGTCCCCAGTGCATTTAAGATAAACTGAAAAATAGACTCTTTGGGAGAGAACGACCACTCAGGATCTGTAACCCATTTTAAACGTAACTGTTATTTAATTTGGGGCACACTTTCCACAGGATAAATCTAAATGCAGCTACCAGAGAAATTAGAGAAATAAGCAAAGTAATTCCATTAACAATGAACTCTTTATTTTTTGTCTCCATATATTCTATTTTTTTAATCTATTCAATTAATGCATTTTAAATGTTCTGTAATTTTCCAATTGTTCTGAGCAGGATGAGGAAAAGACTCCTATAATTCCAGGCAGCTGTTTTTAGCAAGGGCATTGAAATAACTTTGTGAGTGGTTTCCTTTACAACTTTATAGGTCACCACCCTTCCTCTTGGAAATCAAAAATGTAACTTTTTCTTAACTTGTTGAGCAGTGCTTGCAGTGTGCTGCTCTCCTACAACTTGTTGCAATAATTAACTTTGTATTGTTGCTTGCAGGAGAAAGATTTAACCTACTCTGTGTGTGTGCATAGCTGTATGCATATGCATTTATGTTGTATATACTGTCCATTTTTCATTCCTCTGGCCTTAGTAGTAAGAAGCTTTGGGAAATAGGTTTGAAATGGATTGGCACATATTTTGCTGGAGCTGCATCTAATATAAATGAGATTAGTTGTGATGACTTGCTCTGGTTAAACTGTGTTACATCTCTGTAGGCCAAAGGCCATTCCTGTGAAAGTGAGACTCCACCAAAGGACACTACCTTATTTGCTGCTCTTGGCTTGTATGTCAGCGCTAGGTAATTGACAGTATCATAAGTTTTTTGCTTACTAATAGATGAATTTTTACAAGAATTAAAGCCTCTGTGTATTAGAGCACACAGAATCTGGATTAAACAGAGATTCGCTATGACTTTCCAGTAAAATCACTGAAAATTATCTGTCAGAAGAATATAACTCTTTTTGACCCTCTGCAAAATACTGAAGGGTGATCACTGTTGCCACCGGAGGACCTTGGATGGAATTAGTTTGTTTAAGTTTATAGCAAATTATAAAAGTAGCAAAGTAGTTGATTGCTGGTATTATAAATAAATCTCTTGAAAGCAAGTTTCTCACTAAATTGAGAGAAAACAAGAGAGGAAAAAGACAGCATAAGCTGCAAAATACACAACTTAGATCTGTATTTTTAAAATATTTATCATATACCTGAAGTAAGTTTGAGGAAGGAGACATTTAAAAAAATGTGTCATTAATAAGCCTCAAAGATTTTGCACTGAGTGTCTTTCTGTCTAAAGGAACCAACCATATTCCCAAATTCTGGGGTATTTGCTGTGGACTTTGTCATCTGTCTTATGTCTGGCAGAAGCATTGTATGAACATTTTGCGGGCAGATTTCTGGTATAGAGATGATATAGATAAACACAGCAATTTCCTTTACCACTGCCAAAAAATCCTAGCACTAATTTAACAGAGAGGAAACTTCCGAAATTGATATTGTTGTTCCTGGAAGAGCCAGCAGGGATATACTGGTGTAATAAAGGATGCATCCAGTGCATCCATGCCAAAGAGTTGCTTTTAAACCAGACCTTAGGAACATGGGAGAGAAAAAGTGAACCTTAGCACAATCAAGCAAGCTTTGAAGAAAGTTTTTTTTCTGTTTAGAGGAAAAACGTCATTTAACATAAAAATGCTTCATTATGTAGCAAAAATGCAGTAACGGCAATTTTATAAGCAGAATTTTTTCTTATTTGTTGCACAGTGCCAGAGTAGTTTGCATACATCTGAGATTCCAGTTGCTGTATCCAAACACTGTTTTTTTTGCCCAGTTATTCATGTCAGAACAAATTTCCACTGCATTTAGTTACACTCCTCAATGAACATCTTCAGTTAGGAGAATTGGACCTAAGGGATATATCTGTGGTTCAGGTCTAGCTATTATACTGCTTTTTAAATGTCACACCTGATTGGATGAGGCAACATATGTATACACTTGTGACAACTAAAATTGTACGTTAATAAGCCGTTTACAACTATGCAAACGTCTGTGATTAATACAGGTTTTGGTATGAGAGTTCAGAAAAGATAACTTTGCTTACATCTCTTTAGAACATGTTTGCATGGAAAAGCAACGTTACATCTTTCCTCCTGCCCCCAGGCACACAGTGATCCATGTTGCAGTTCCCAGCCAGTTGTTGTTGTAGTCTTTCTACAACAACAACAAGATACTGTGTCTTTCACCTGACTTTGTTCTAGACTTTGGCTTTCTGTGCAGAATTTGAAAGCCTACATCTAGCTCCAGTCCCTGATGATCAAGTTTAATAGATGAACACTGAGAGATTACACAAGGAGACTTCCAAAATGCTTAGTGTGCTTCTTAAAATTATCTTCTGTCACACAGTTGGGCTTGTGCATATATAGAACAGTTGTTAAATTTTCAATGTATTTTAAGAACTGAAGATTCCTAATTACTGAAGCTGCTAAGACCGAATGCCACCTCAGTTATATGTTCCCTGAGATT